TGGAGGATCCCATTTCCAGGTTGTCAGAGCTTGTGCTCTGTCCCAGCACAGCAGCAGGAGCGCAGGGGGGTGTCGAGGACTCGGCAGATTCTGGGAGGGGAGGCAGGGGACAGCCCTGGGGGTAATCTGCACCGGGTGGGTCAGGCCAGCCCCACGTCTGCACGTGCCGCAGCTCGGGCTGGAGGAGCTGTTGTTCACTGGTGACAAGGGGGTCCCAAGGTGGGGTCCCAGGGCAGGATCCCAAAGCGCAGGGCGCAGCGCGGCGGGGCCGTACTTGGCCTGCTTGCTGAGCAGCGTGACGTTCACATTCCCGAGCACCAGACTCAGGTACAACCTGTGGAGAGAGCAGCGGCGTTAGGACGGGAGCCTGCCCGGGAGCTGGCAGTGCTGTCGCTGAGGCGCGGCAGAGCTGTCCCCTCCCGTGCCACCGCGGAGGCCACGGAGCTGGGAACGAGCCCCCAGCTGTTTTCCATTGAGAGCTGCCCGGCAGCGTGACCGGCACAAGTGCTCTGGCATCTCCTCCCAAGGGCAGGGGGACGGGAGGCTGAGCACACACCACACCTCCTGCCAGCACCGGGGTGTTTGCCGGGGCTCCCCCCTCCTCACCGGGCACGGCGGGGGGTCCAGGGCAGGTGAAGGCCAGGAGCAGGCAGTAGAGCAAAGCAGGACCCAGGCAGCGCTGCGGAGGCTCAGCCTGGCTCCTGCCCAGGCGTCCTGCGGGCAGCACGGCTGTGACACCGCTGGGAGCAGGGTGACAGCGGGTCTGAGCCTCGCGGCGTTACGGCTGCAGGGACGCGGAGGGAGGAGCGGAGGTTTCACCCAGAGACCAGGCGTCTCTTACCCGTTCTTCTTTGGCAGATAGGCCTCCATCTCGAAGAAAACGTTCTGCCTCTCTTTGATGAGGCTCTGGGTCTCTCGGATGGACTCCTCCTGTTCGGGGCTCACGTGGGTTTTGCATCTGGGGAGGAAACACAGGCGCTGGCCTCAGGGTAGCCTCCGTAACAGTCAGCCCGTGCTGGCGCTCGCTATGTGACTGTCTTGGACAAGGGCACCCCAAGGACAGGGAAGATGAGCTGGAGGCAAGTCCACGACTCCCAGCTGCAGGGTGGGCTCCTCTGCGTCCGGCTGGGATGTTGCTCCAGAGAAGGAAGCGGGACTGAGAGCGAGGTGAGGCCAGACGGGTCTTCTCGCCCTCCGGGAAGGATGGGGAGAGCTTTGTGGGGGAGGGGGCCATTCAAGGCACCTGTGAAGCCTCTGCGAGCTCTTAACTGCCAACAGGGCTCAAAGCAGGGCAGAGGAAAGGGATGCTGAGGAAGATCTGCCTGGGGGAGTCCAGACCTGCCCAGCGCTTGGCTGTCAGCGAGGCTGCAGTAAGGTTTGTGCTGGCGACCGAGCCGGGAGCTGAGCTCCAACAACCCCGTCCCTGCTGCCCTCCCGCCCCACGCCATCGCGTGACACCCACTCACTTCTTGAGGGACAACGACAGCTCCTTCAGCCGCTTCTTCTGCCGTGTGATGGAGCTGGAGATCCCATCCTGGAGCTTGGTCAGCTCCTCGAGTTTCTGCTTGTACAGCTTGTGATTATCCTGGGAAGGAGAGACAGACACGCATCACAGCTGCCTGCCCAGCCCTCCCCTCCCTGTCCTTGGGACATCTGCTGATGCATCTCCTAAAAACCGTCTTTAACTTCACCTGCACAGCAGCTGGGTAAGATGAGAGGTGGGTAGAAACTGCAGGCAGGCGGCCAGGCGTGTCTGGGGACAGCCTGCAGCCCTCCCTGCTGCCATGGGGACAGGAGCAGCCCCTGGGGACACCCATCCTCCACCCCAGGGACATTAGGGAGGAGTGAGCTATGGCTGCAGGCACAGCTGGCTCCTGCCCTCGCACGTGGCTTGTGTCTGGTCCCCCTCCAGCTGTGGAAGTCCAGCCAGCAGTGTGGTCCCGCTCCGGGGGTGTTCCTGGGGTTGGGAAACCATTGGCTGTGGCACAGGGGACAGGAAAGACTCAGGGGAAAAAAGGGCCACAGCCACCTGGGAGCGGTGGCTTTGACTGCTGGGATGGGAACAGAGCCTCCCTCTGCCTGGGGTTTGTGATGTGCCGGCTGCAGCCCCACGCGTGGCTCCGGGGCTCTGTCCCAAGCACCCCCAGGACACTGGAAGGAGCCCAGACAAAGAGGACGGACTTGGAGCAGGGCTGCAGCCAACTGCCCGGCTCCTGCTGCGGCCGTAACCCAACCGCACCTGGGTAAGGCTAGATGCCATTCTTCTGCTATATTTAGAAAGGAAAAGAGAGAGCATGCTGGATCAATGCTCCTTCTTGTGCAGGTCAGCTGGAAAACAGCCTCACCTCGACCACGGGCAGCCTGAACCCCAGGGAATTAAATGCTGCTTGTAACAACCCTTGGACTAGACGTTGACACACACACATTTTAGTTTTCGTAGCTCTTATCGAGCAATTTATCAGCAGATCTCAAAGCTGTTCCCACAGGAGAAAGGTGAAACAGAGATGCAAAGGAGGGAAACAACTCCTTCTCCCTCTGGTGACAAGCAAGTGGGGGTGGCCCTGGCTCCCCCAGCAGTGATTTCTGTCCTGGATCTCTCTGGGGCCATTCCCTGCTCCCAGCAGGAGTCACCTCCTCAAATTAACCAAGAGCAAGTGGCTTTTGTGACAGCTCCTTCAGCCGTGCCAGCACCCAAGCACGGATCAGGAGCCCCCGCAGAAGTTTTCCAGGGGCCGGAGCCGTGAGGGCTGGCAGCGCGGGGTTCAGAGGGAGCACCCCGGGACGTCCCCGCAGCCCCGATGGAGCAAGAGGAGGTTTCTCAAGGCCGCCCTTGCCCCAGATCTGGGCCTAGCTGCGATGTGTCTGCAACAACATCCGCTTGGCCCTGCTGCGGGGGGAAGGAGGGGAACTGGTGCAGATGCAGCCAATGGATCTGAACCGAAAATCAGCAGCAGCCAGTGCACCAACCTTTTCCCTGCGTGACCCCGGGCTGAGCTGAACCCTGCCCAGTCCTTCCCCCAGCAGTGCGGGATTACACAGAGCAGGTAGAAACGGCCCCGATACCGGTCACCTTCCCAGCACAGAGGCCCCCGCCAGCCCCGGTGGGTGACGGGAAGGGTGCCCGGGTTTGAGGGTGTTCAAGGCGCCTGGCTGCAGCGTGACCGGATTCCTGGCTGCCTCCGCTCCGCTGGCCCTGCAAGGCTGCCTCCAGGTCTGCGGGAGCCAGGCTCAGAGGAG